CACACACACACACACCCTCACAGAGAGGTGTCATACATGTCTCACGTCTGTCACAGTGGGAATACTTGAAAGCTTCTGTCTGTTTGCAGGTGGTGTGGCGAAAACTGGGCGACGCTGCGGGTTCGAAGCTGTCCGTCAGGCAGCACCTCTCTGGGAACCAGTTCAAGGGTCCGCTGTAGCACRGCAACAAGCAAGACTGCTCCCACAAAACACCACCTTACTAAACTGCCTCCACGACCCACCACGCCATGTCCCCCACGACTGCCGACAACACCTCCAAACCACACCCTCCGTCAGGTCTGGCTCAGAATGGACTCTGCAAGTATTTATGTGTCGACAACTGGCAGCTAGTTTCACCGATTCACCCCCCCACCACCACCCCCATTTTGTTTTTGTTTGTTTTTCTATCTCCCTCTGGTAACAGCCACAAACACGCTCCTTTGAGTCGCATCGCTGCCGTAAGCCAGCAGAGCAAACGTGGTTTCAAGCACAGACCGGACACTATCCGCATGCTCAGCTCCGTTTTTGATACCTCCTATAGAGACCCTGCCCACACCCCACCCACCCAGCTTCTGCCATCCTCGCCCCGACCCTAGTGGTCAACGAGTACATATGTAGGATTTGTAAATGTTAACCAAGTGAAACCCACTGTGATCTAGCGCCTTTTGCTCATAAGACAAGCCTACGAATAACTAGGGATCACTGTTAACGTGTGTATATTCTGTATAAAACCATAGTTATCGTTGATTTATCTTCTTCTTTTTTTTGTATTCTAGCGTGGCCATGCGATCAAGACTTGTTTTAAAATTCTCAAAGACTGGACCTGTTAGCAGGTTTTTTTGTTTGTTTATATATTAACTTTTTAAATCGTTATTTCCCAGATGAATAATCATCATCAGCCCTTATCTGTGTCAACCTACAGAGATGCATCAAAACCAGGGTGATTCTATGAAACGATTTGGTTCAGTGACTTTGTGACCCGAACAGGAACTGTGTGCTGTGTGCACGCTCGACAATCATTTTCTCAGGTTGGGAGGGCTACAGCTTTACCTTCACCTTTCTATTTGACTGTTTGTGTGAGAGAGATGAGTGTGTCCTTGTTATAAACCACTGTGTGTGTGTGTGTGTGTGTGTGTGTGTGGTTTTCTTGCAGCTGTAGCATTAGTGTGGCTGTTCAACCCTGGTTAGAACTCAGTGTAAATACTGATACACTTTCTGAATCCATACAATCCATAACCTGCAATAACTTTTGAGCACCCAGTACTAGATGCACTAATTATTTTTTATGTACTTATCTTATGAGAAGATTTTGTAAAAAAATAAAAGCTCACTTTTCAGATTAGACCTTTTGATGTCGGGGATCAGGCAGGTGTGTTTAACCAGAGCATTATTTTTTAACTTGTTTTGTTTTTTTTAATTGAAGTACGTCTTCCCTCGGATGTCTCCAACATGAAACATTTTCAAACGAGTATTTCTTGATGTCAACGTATTTGTTGTCGTGTTTAAACTAGAGATCGGAGAGCGAACCTGGAACCGAACAGACAATTCGTCTGATTTGTTCAGCGTCTAACAGCCTGCTCTCTCCCATCTCTAGCGACATTTGTTCCAAATTAGAACATTTCTGAGGCTGTTCTCCTAAATAATGGATGGAAAAAGAAAGTATTTTTTAAAAAGTGTCCTTTTTTTTCTAGGAACCAATTTGAAGCCATGGTACAGTTTTGAATATTTAGCAAGTGGCATTTTATTTGAGATGTGCCAGGTTTTTTTTTTTTTTCAATGCATTTTGATTTGGAACCCAACTGTGTTTTGTAAACATTGTAAATGCTCTTTGTTTCCCACCTTAATGTTAAATCCACAGTACAGACCCCCAGAATCTGCAGCATCCATGTGTACTCCTGTAGCAGCTAGCATGACTGTAACCTTTTCTCATGAATTTTAAGATCAATATTTGGCAAGTGAAAAACATTGATGAAATAGGCCACTTTTAGAAATCTTTGAAGAAAAACAATAAACAAGTTGCTTATTAATGCCGTCGGTGGTCTTATTTCTATAGATGTCACACTGCCCTCTGCTGGTAAGTCAAAGTACTGCACTGAAATGAGTCAAAATAAACTTTCAATGAACTTCACTTATTTTTTTTCCCCCTTAATCATTTTTTGACTATTTTTTAGGCTGTTAACGTTATTTATTTCAAACGACTCAGAAACTTTAGTCGAGTTTAAATTTACGTTTGTTTTTTTTTTAACTATTTTTAGCTAATGGAAATGAAAATTTACAAAAAACCAAGTAAGAGTTTTTATTTTATGCTTTTTTTTTTGTTTGTTTGCCCAATAAATTTATAGGAACCACAGTGTTGCAAAAAAAAAAGTTTCAACTAAAACTTAACGATTTCATCATGGACTGAAAACCCACATAACTGCGCAGGTCTTTAATATCATGGCTGGAAACTAAATCAAAGCTACAGGCTGGGATACACAAATGAACCTGACTAAAAGGCACATTTAGTTCTCAACACCATCCTCTGAAATTAAAAGATCTTTTCAAAATACAACGTAAACTTTCCAGGGGTCGACATGTTTAACTACACAAGGGTTTTATTTGGAGATTTTGTTTAATACAGTCTGCAGGACACCTTCGCTCATCATGAAATGAGAAGAATTAGTATAATTAAAAAAAATTATGGTAGCATAAAAGATTTGCAACATAACTCCAGTGTTCTAAAAGAAAAAAAAAACAATGCTTTAAACTAAAATGCCAGATGACCATTTTTTTCCCTGCAGGAATGGAGGTAATAGAAAATATCAGGAAATGAAGCAGAGCTACAACATATGATGAAATTATTTTAAAAAATGAGAAAAGTTCACCTCTGAGCTGCAAGTTGAGCTAAAACAGGTTAATTAATGACAATATGTTGGACAAAGAGAAAAAATACGTCCTTAGAAATTCATGAAGATGTGCGATGATGACACTAAAAATGTTCCTTTTCATTTAAAGCTCCTTTGCAGATGGGTTTTCTCTCTCACCTCCTGCTGATTCACAGAAAAATAAACTCCACTTCTCTTAGTTTGGAAACAGAAAACCACTTCCTGGTTGTGTTCAGTCTGCAGATCCACCCTCCAGCTTCTCATCTCAGCCACCCACCACGGTTCAGAGGCATCCCAGGCGGAGGGGGCAGCGGCACTTGGGACTGTCCTGGGGGCACAGGAGGTGGGGGAGGGTACCCGGCAGGCGGGAGCCCGATCCCCGGAGGGGGAACGTGTCCCGGTGGCATGCGTGGAGGTGGCGGTGGCGGGTAGCTGTTGTAGCCCGGCGGTGGATAGGTCGGTGGTAAGGTGGGCGGTGGGTAAGTGGAAGGAGGAGGCGGAGGACCCGGAGGCGGCGCCGCGCTCGGCGGGTAAACGTGGGGGTGATACGGGGGTATCGGGGGAGCGTAGCTGGGCGGCATGGGGGCGTAGGAAGGAACCTCKGTCTTCATCATGGACTGCAGGCTCTGGTAGCCCTCTCCAGACATGTAGGAGCTGGTGGTGGACATGATGTAGCTGGAGGGCGGGGGAGGCGGCGGCCGGTGGGGGAGGGGCGGGGGCTGGTGTGGAGGCGGGGCATGCGGAGGCGGAGGAGCAGCTTCGCTTCCTGGTTCGGCTTCTGTGGGCGGAGCTGGACATTGAAGAAACAGATTTAAAACAAGTGAAACTCCGCCTTCCAACGTGACCTGAAATAACCTGCTGCTGAGGGTGTGAAATTATATGTGTATATGTGTATGTGTATATATATATATATATATATATGTATGTATGTATGTATGTATTTTTATTCTTTTTTTGTTAAATGGGGCAGATATATTTTTTCTTTTGCTTCCTTTCATTTTATGAGATTTTTGTATTGAAATTTTTGTTTTTAATCGAAATGAATAAACTATTAAACTTAAAAAAAACAACCTAACCTCAGCTGTGAAGCAACAGGCTGCAGACACACAGGTGGTCTCATTACAGGCTTTAGCTAATCAGATTGGTCTGGGCTAGTTTASGTGTGTGTGTGTGTTGTCCAGACAAGTTGTGAATATGTAAGCAGACTAAATGTTCTGAGCTGCTTCATAAAGCTTCAGCTACAGACGAGGGGTGGGCTTCATTACAGGTCTGTTCGGTGGGCAGCACCACTCCAAAATCAAACCTTTTTAATCAACAATTTAAAGTTCGGCACAGTGAAGAGATAATGTTGAGATGTTTACCTGGAGGAGGCTGAGCTGAAGGCAGTGGGGGCATGGGGCTCTCCAGTCTGGGAATCTTTGATCCAGCTTGTTCTGCAGATTACCCAAGAATGCATTAAGTGACTTGTGTCTGCCTCAATATTCACAAAACTCAAAAAGCTGCCAAAAAAAAAAAACTAATCCAAGGTGCTCTGAATGCACTGTATGTAATCTGTATCTGTCATGATGCTCTTAAATGGTTTATATCTAAATATAAATTGTTTCACTGGATTACCTGGAGCCTTTGGTTCTTCTTTTGGTGATGTCTGAAACAAAATGACAAATATTTAAATGGAGGATGAACTTTTTTTTTTTTAATCCAGAGAAGCATCAGATTTCTTACATGTGAGCGTTTGAGCTGGCGTGCAGGGCTGCCACCTGGTGGAGACGTCTTTTTGGGTGGCGGGGGAGGAGGGTTGGCGGCTGGGGGCTGTCCCTGAGGGATTGGAGGAGCAGAGAGGGGAGGAGCTGGGGTTCGCTCCTTCTCCTGGATCTGCTGGGGGATGGGCTTGTTGCCCTGAGAGTACAGGTCCAGGATCTGGTGGCAAATGTCTGGAGGACAGGAGACTTTTAGGCTGAGAAAATAATAATAATAATAATAATAATAATATTTTTCTACAATGAACACCTTCCAGTAGCTCGACCGGGACGTCTTGGACGAACTGCTCCCACCAGCGGCGTGACGACTGCTTGGCCGTCCACTCCTGGATGTCAAATTTACACAGGCGGCCCGCCAAGTACATCACCGCCACCGCTATGATTTCTGGCTCCCACTGCAGGGACAACATGGTGCACAGGCTGCAGAAAACAACAAAACAAAACACAACACAGCTTTGTCAAAAATATGCTTCCCAAATTTTCCTCCATCGTGCAGAAAGTGGGCAGCAATTWAGGTAGAGAATGTGTTCAACCATCGAGCTTCTAACTTCGACATTTGAGACATCTTGGATACCTAATTTTGATTTAGAACTATTGAAACATTATTTGAACTCCGACTCTTCTTTTTCTCTCTCAGTGGTTCAAAAATAATCTAAAGAAACATCAAATTCTTAACTGTCTGTGYTGTCAGCAGTTGTAGCAATGCTGTTTTACATGTCGGCATCACTTCCTGTTTCTGTGCAAATATGAATAACTCTTCATCTTACAAACTTTGCAATACATTTATAATGTTACAGTGGGGAAAATAAGTATTTAGTCAGTCACCAATTGTGCAAGTTCTCCCACTTAAAAAGATGAGAGAGGCCTGTAATTGACATCATAGGTAGACC